CTTCTTCTTCTTCTTCTTCTTCTTCTTCTTCTTCTTCTTCTTCTTCTCCTTCTCCTCCTCCTCCTTCTTTCTCTCTCTCTCAAAATAAATAAATAAACATTTAAAAAAAGAAAAGAAAGAAAGACCACTGAAGAGGGAACCCTAACTCAGGCTGGGGAGGGTCAGGAGAGGCTCCCTGGAAGACAGCCTCTTTCTCTGAGCCCTGAAGGTTCGGCCAGCAGTGCCTGTTGCCCCAAGAGGGGCAAAGAAGAGGGAGAAGAGAAGAGGGAGAAGAGGCTTCCAGGTAAAGGGAATCCCACAGTGCAAAGTGTGGCAGGCTCTGGGTGCCAGGGAACCGTAGGCAGCTGAGCTATTGATGCCCACACTCCGGAAGGCCTTGACCAGACAGGATGCCAGAGACTGAAGAGGAGCAGAAGAGCAGAATCTAAAGAACTGGAGACCTGAGAGGGAATCTGGCCAGGAGGCTGGGGCCCCACCATGGAGGGAGATGGTGGTGGCAGACCAGGGTAGCTGCAGGGGACGGGAGAATGGGGACAAGGGGATGGGCCAGAGAGAGCTATAGAAAGAGAACAGACCACACTTGGTGACGGATGGGGTGGAGGCGGGAGCGAGAGGGAAGTCTGGGCTGAAAGCCAGGCTTTTAGCTAAGACAAGATGCTCAGTGTTGCCCTCTCACCAACACACACACAAAGTCAGCCTGCCTCTCCCTCTCTCTCAATCTCTCTCTCTCTCTCTCTTTTTCTCATGCACAAAGCTCCTGGCAGCCCCTGGCACTGAGGCCCCACCCTGGTCCCGAGAGAGTAACTCCAGGCCAGGTTTCCCCCCAGCCTTTGCAGAGAGAGGGAGGATCCAGGCAATCCCCAGCCTGGGGCCTTACCTTTCCTACGTAGGTGAAGAGTGCAGCCTCCGGGGACAGCTCCCCTCGGTGTAACTTCTGCACCAGCTGAGTCAGGGGCAGGGCCAGCAGTGCCTCTGAGTCCAGGTCGGGGTTCTGGGGAGACACCTCAGATAAGTACCCCCTTACCCCACAGGCCTCAAGTGCCTACAGCTGACACTTGTGGCCCATGCCCCTAAGTCTCCACACCTGCCAAAGCAGATGCTAACTGTCACATGCCAATCCACGACAGACATGCCCACCTGCAGCTCTGAGACCAGAAACTGTGGCCCAGCCTAGGCAGGCACTTGTCACCTATGGACAGGACAGATATACCTCTTCTAGGAGGTTATCAGACGGGGTGCCCTGGGAGAGGCCATGCCCAGTATGATTATTAAACCATTATGAACTACCACCACTGACAGCTGCCAACTGCACCATGCTGCTGCTCTCTGTTCTGACTAAATCTTGCTACCATTCCCATTGCACAAATAAAGAAACTGAGGCACCGGAGCGCCTAAGTGTCTCAGTCGGTATAAGCGTCTGTCTCTTGGTTTCGGCTCAGGTCATGATCTCATGGTTTTGTGAGTTCCATGAGTTCCAGCCCTGTGTCAGGCTCCATGCTGGCAGGGCGGACCCTACTTGGGATTCTCTGTCTCCCTCCCTCTCTGTCCCTCCCTCACTCTGTCTCTGTCTCTCCCAAAATAAATAATAAATAAACTTAAAAAAAAGGGGGGGGGGAGGAAGGAAGGAAGGAAGGAAGGAAGGAAGGAAGGAAGGAAGGAAGGAATTAAGGCACCAAGTGGCTAAGTGCATCACCTAGGACCATACAGGTAAACTATAGTTCTCCGTCCACTCAGCATAGGCTGTCCACTGGCTGTCCACCTGCACCTAACCACTCAATCCCTGGCAAGGGAGATGAGAAAAAGAAGACACTATCCTGGGTGGTTGGGGCTGTAGCTAGAGGCTCACAACTAAAAGAGAGGAGTTTTTCATTCATTCCAGATACATATTACCAAGCACCATACTAGGCCTGGGGATCCAACAGTGAACAAAAAAGGCACGTCCATGCTTTGGGAAGCAAGCATGTAATTAACAAGTAAACAAGAATTTGAGATAGTAAGAAATAACTTGAAGAAAATAAAACCTGGTGTGGTGAGTGGGTGGCACACAGGTAGGTAGAGGGTGGTCAGAGAAGAGCTCTCTGAAGGAGGAGGGACATTTGATTGCACACCTGACTGCCAGACCTTGAAGGCTCCCAGTCTCTGGGGTCAGCCTTTGCCTGAAAACCCAGCTTGCTCCCTCCTCAAAGGTATTGAGGCAATTAGTAAACACGGTCAGAGAGAGGGTCTCTGAATCACAGCCACCACTTTCCACCCCCACTCTCCTCTGCTCTTGCCAAGGTCATCAGGGACTTCCTGGTGACAAATCCAAGAGATACTCCACTCTGATATTTGCTCCATGTCTCACTGAGGTATTCAAAGCTATTGAGACCACATACCAGCTCTCTTCAATTGCCCCCTGGGCATGGAGATACTATCCTCCCTGGTTTTACTCCCGTTTCTCTGCTACTTCTGTCATCCATTTATTCAGTTAGTCAACAAACATGTTCTGAGTACCTACTATGTGCCAGGGACTACGTTAAGGGCTATGAATTTAGACGTAACCAAGACAGACAAGTCCCTGCTTTCAGAGCCTACATTCGAGAAAACAAACAAGTTAACAAATAATGGACAGATCATGGGAAGTATGAGAACACAAGAACAGCTGCTGTGATGGAAATAAGAGACGACTGACTCAGATGGGATGGCCAGGCCTCTCTGAGGAGGTGACATTTCTTTGTGTGATTTGAAGGATGAGAAGGAGCCAGATGTGGGAAGAGACACATTCTTCTGGGTACCTCTTCTTCCCTCCCTGATGCTGGGAGAAGTGAATCCTTCTCGTGGCTTCCACTCCAGGTTCTCCACCTAACCCACGGCCTCCTGACCCTCCACCCAGCCTGACCCAACTGAGCTCTGGTGCTCAGGGGCTATTCCCATTGCCGCCCACCCTTGTGTCCTTCTCCCTGAGCTCGCTGCTCCCCCACTTTCCACCGTCTCCTGTTCCACGTACCCTTGTGCAGGGAAGGGCTGAGTCCATCCAGGTGTTAGAGTGCAAGAACAGGCCAGGGCCCTTCCCTCCCCCTCTCCCCCGCATCCAGATCCAATTAGTCATCCTGTCCATCCTTTCTTTCCTGGATCACACAGGGCCACCTTAGCGGTTATCAAGCCCAAGCCATCTACCCACCCTTCCTGCCAGGCCAGCCAGTGCAAAGCAGGACTGGCTGCTCCTTAAGGTCTCTGTCACACCACAAGCTCCAGAGATATTCCAGGAAGTGCTTCCAGGCTGTGTTCCTGTCAGACTCCTCCACATCCTTCCATGAGATACCACCTACTCACACCCTCCACACACACCCACCACAGAGCCTTTGTACCCTGGAGTTAACAGCAGGAACACTCTACCCCCTTCTCTTTTTCTTAATTTATTTTTTATTAAAAAAAATTTTTTTAACGTTTATTCATTTTTGAGAATCAGAGAGAGACAGAGCATGAGCAGGGGAGGGGCAGAGAGAGAG